AACTGTTGAAACCAGATATTGGCCAAGAATCCAGAGATGCAGAGCCATCTGACTTGGGCTGGACAAACGAAACAACTGGGTGGCAGCCTCTTTGGACCACTCTCCCGGAAGCATAAAAGTTGTGGCATGAATAATCCACTGTCGCTGCAAGAAAAGATGCACTGGAATGTGATCTTGTTCTGGAGACTGTTAGATTTTGATCGTTACCATATCATTAGGATATGCATAAGTTGTGGACAGTGCTAAATTCATGTAAATATCTATAGCTGTGGTTATGAACAGGTTTTAGGTCGTATTTGGAATAGCTTTTTTTGTCTTCTGGGCCCAATTTCATAAAGCTGCTAACCGGTAAGCAAATTTTCGTGCTATAACTGTAGCAGACAACTTTGGTTAGCAAGAAAACAAGGCGTCCACCTTGTACGTTCACAATGGATTGCATTGTTACAAAATTCATTTTCGTCCAGTAAGCAGCGTAAGGTTAATGCATTTTCGTGTGCTTACGGTTAGCAGTGCTTTGAAGTAGAAACTAATACGTAAGCACAGAACCAACCGATAAGCAACTCTATGAAATTTGGCCCTGGATAGTCAAAGTGGTGGTACACGGGTCTTTTTATTAATTTTTAAAATAATGAAACCTTAAGTGTCAAAATAGAGGCAATGTTTATTTTAAAAAAGAAAACAGCACTTTTTTGGCCTAATATGACCTTTAACTTGACCTCATTGCAAATCCCTGAGTTCTGGCGATCTCAATGTATTACGTAATGAATTGGCATCCCCAAGTTAGTTGGAAATGACACCTCAAACGTTTTTCTACACTTTTTGGTTCAAAAGTTACCACGTTTGTACATTAGACCATGCGGACTGGCGGCTATTTTGGATTTGACCTCTTAGGGTCATCAGAGGTCACATCAAACTGTTAGATAAACTAACTGAAAAGGATTAAGGTGGAGAACTCTGCAGGGGAACCATTCCTTAATAAATTTGAGAACATAGCTAGGGAGAACAAATGACAAATAATGGGGATTTAACCTTCTGTAACCATTCAAAACTTGCTATTTTTAGTCAATTTTGACCTCGACCTTGACATAAATGCCACACCCTGAGTTCTGGTGATCTCAAATGTACTACCAGATGAACTGGCATCCCCAATTTAGTTGGAAATGACACCTTAAATGTTTTTCTGGATTATTTGGTTCAAAAGTTACTGCGTTTATACATTAGCCCTTGCGGACTGGCAGCCATTTTGGATTTGACCTCTCAGGGTCATCAGAGGTCAAATCAAACTGAAATAGACTACCTGAAAAGGATTAAGGTGGAGGACTATGCAGGGGAACCATTCCTAAAGAAATTTGAGAACAAATGACAAATAAATGAGATTTAACCATTTGTAACCTTTCAAAACATGCTATTTTTAGTCAATTTTGACCTTGACCTTGACCTAAATGCAAAACTCTGAGTTCAGGCGATCTCAGAAGTATTACCAAATGAATTGGCATCCCCAAGTTAGTTGGAAATGACACCTTAAACGTTTCTCTGGACTATTTGGTTCAAAAGTTAAGCATGTTTGTACATGTCATTAGACCATGCGGCCTGGCGGCCATTTTGGATTTGACCTCTCAGGGTCATCAGAGGTCAAATCTGACTTCCCTCCACATCTGAAAATAAATCTTATGGTGAAAGCAAACTATGCTAGAAGTTTCATGCTTTTATCAAAAAGTGCACAATTTTCTTGCTAAGCCGCTGCACTAATATGGCACGTTAGTATAAATTGACTCTACTTTTGAATGTTCTACATTGTAGTTTATAAATGATGCAGTTTTACTTGATTTTACCCACAGAGTAAAATGGGCAGCTTGGTGTTGCCTGCATCGAAGATGCACGTATTAGTACAGCTGATGTTCTCAAGCCAGTAATTATTAATTAATTACAACATGTTGTAGGCTTATATGAATTGACCCTCTAATTGCTTTTAAGTCGTTCACCTTCAACTGACCTTAACCATGTCTGCTGGACAGTTTGTTTCTGAATCATCTCACCACTCAACCAGCAATGATTATACTTATTGACTATTGTGACATTGAGATTATTTAGTAATACATTCATTCTAACTCCCAAATTTATTCTAAATCCCGAAAAACAGACTGGCTTCAAATGTTGCCCAATGTCTATAGAGCAAACTCCCTGCATTTCTGAGAAATAGTTCTTTAACTTTTAAAAAAATAGTAAAGTGTGTGCATGTTCATTATCAAATCATTCTTTATTTCTATTGTACATGTAAATATGAGGGAGGAAGAAAAGTAAGCACTTTGTATACATAGTAGGCCTACATGAATGTATGCACACATTACATGCAGGAAGAATGTATCCAATTTAAGCAACTCTACTCTGTTGGTTCTACTAAAAGACAACTCTAACCTGAAAATGAAATCTGATCAATATCACACAGCATGTTGGCATGAAATAAAAGTTGTTGTTTTTGCAACAGGGTTTATACAGCTTGAAATTCAATCCAATTGTGAACTGGTTCTACTGGTACCACTCCCCTGCCCCTCCCCCTGAAGGGACAGCGATCTGTAGGCAAGTTCATACACAATGACAACAATCAAAACATGATGAATTAGAATATGAATCTTCAATCTAGCATGAAACTCAAAGTTTTGTTAATGTTAAATAAGATAAACCTCAAAGTGCAATGCAGCATACATGTACCTCATCAATACAGTCATTTATTTTGCACCAAGTATCCACAGCTATTTTGTACCAAGTATCCACAGCTATTTTGTGATATGTTTGCAGTTTTTTGCATACACTGTACTGTACAGTGTACTTAATGTAGCCATTTTGCAGCTTCAGATTTAATATTCATTGTGTAGAGTTGTATGTTGTGTACATGTATTTATTTAAAAAGTCTGGTAAAAAACCCTCATAAAACCACATTCCAATTTACAGAGTCCCAGAGATATATTAATACTGTTCAGTACACCTGTCATTCAAGTGACCCAAAAAAATTAAGTTTTGGAGAACTATGAAGAACTTGTATTTTTTTTTTTTTTTAATTGATAAAAATATTTCAGGTTACATCAATCACATTTAAAAACCTACTGTACCTTGTAACTCCTACAGTATATACATGTACATGTACTGATGTTATCATGTTATTACTAGTGCTGTAGTCAAACGTTTAACCGTCCGGTATCCGACCGCCCATGGCGGATTCCGTTTTCAATTGGACGGTTTCGTTTTCCCGTTTTTTTTTTTTTTTTTTTTTAAGTTTCGATTTATGCCCCTCCACCTGGCACTATGCCTGGCAATGTCTCCCAGCTCAGTAATCAGTGTGATGACTTACCACTTGGAAACTAAAACAACACTCCAATTTGTCTGTCATCTTGGTTTGAAAGTAATCTTTGTAAATAGATCTCAATATATTCATCCAAGTTTAACACATGGTGTACCACAAGGTTCTATCCTAGGTCCTCTACTGTTTTTAATTTACTTTAATGATCTTGCACATTATTCTAAAACGACATTGTTACTATTATTCGTTACTAGTTCACAAGCACAAATCGGCGCCTTCAGTTAAATCACCTTCCTGATTTTTCACACGGCCAAAAAAAAAAAAAAAAAATTTTTTTTTTTTTTTTTTTTTTAAATAAATCGTTTAACCGAAAACCGTCCGGTTTTGACAGGCGGTTAAACGGAATTGGAGATATCCGTGATGTTACAGCACTAGTTATTACCTTGTAGAAGTGCAGTTGCCCTGTTAGCCCTCTTGTGTTTTAAGGGCCCAATGGTAATCCAATACCAAATTGGGCTATCATCAAAAATAGTACCGTACTTTTGGGCCCTTAAAACACAAGAGGGTCAACAGGGCAATTGCACTACTACAAGGTAATACAATCAGTACATGAGCTTCAAAGCCCTCCTCATGTATCCATTATACAAAGAAGATGGACTATAAAAGTACCCCCCCCCCCTCCCTTTTTTATTTACCCCACAACACTACAATCATATTATTGAATTACCTGTTATCAAATTCCATTCTGGTGTATAGTACGGTACTGTGATATGTTGGATACATGTATGGTACATGTATGTCCTTGCAATGTAATTTGGATCTTTAGTTTCTCTAATCACAGTGGACTTGATATCATATTTGGTTGTTGTAGGCTGCAATTATACGTTATAATCATTATTAATGTGCTTTGTCAATTGTCATGATCAAGGATAAAGGCAGTATTGGATTCGGTTTGTAAATACTGAAATAAATAAAGTTTGGAAACTTCAGATTGAAGGCAAGATTTAAAGGAAGAAGGAAAGGATCAGACCGGTATTTGTGATTAGTCTGTTTACTCAATCCTGAATTATTCATATATTTTGAGAGGAGGGGGAAAAGGAGACCAATACTGAATCGGTTAGGTCACTGTGTCAGACAACTTTCCTACACATAAAATGACTAAAATTTCTTTTTTTTTCTCCATAAGTATGACTTGGGATGGTCTTATAATTCTTTTATTTTTGAGGACCTGCAATAATACACTCTCCATAATATATATTTCTAATGATGCCCCAAGGGTGAAGGCAATAAGGAGAAAAACAGAAACTAGTGATATTTTTGTACTCCACAACAGGGAGAGTTATCCGTCATTGTATCACAAATTCACGATCCTCTGACAAAATTGCCAATTTGAGTTACATGTATGTACATGTACATGTAGCTGTATTGATTTCATATTTTTAACATTCTTATTTTTAAAATTTCTTATTATTGGTTCAATTTTATGTAAAATTGTTGTCATTCCATTTCTCTGTTTTTAATGCTTTTATTCAAATGAACTTTCAAGGTTTGATTACGTGTACAGTTATTCTTCGTTTAAGTGAGAGTAGCCTATATTTATTGTTACCAAATTTAAATTTCTATACATGTAAATATAATATCTAAACTTGCCGTATTATGTTTTTATCAACCATTTTTTCCTTTCCTTTTCTGTTTTCTTCTTTAGTTTTTGAGAGATGAGCTGAAATATGAGGATGACTTTGAGAGGCATTCCCAGCTGCATAGAAACGATAAGGAGATCAGTGCAGAAGAATTATGGAAAGGCTGGAAGTATTCAGAAGGTAAAGAGAGATCCTTTTGTCTTTGTCTTTTTTTTTTCTTTTTCTTTTTTTGTGTGTGTTTCTTCCTACAAAATTTGCCCTAACTCCGACAAAGGGAGCTGAAGTCTCTTGCTTGAATAATAGTATTAACTTTCTATCTTCAGCCATTAATAAAAAAATTGATACTTTCTTAAAATAACTTTGTAATATACATGTAGGAATGATAAGAACACCAACCTACTTACCTACATGTAGTACATTTAATATGAGGAGGTACATGTAGCTATCCAAATACTGGAAATTTCAAATTTTTTCTTGAAAGGGCTGTAGCCCACCAGCCCCCTGCCCCCTCCTCCTTACATGTACATGTACATACACATTGTACATGGAAAGGTTCTCTAGTTCCAGGAGTGTACATTAGTGTATTATACCCCATTCACAGTGGCCTCAAACACCGCGACAGCAGCGGGACTGTCCCGCTGCTGTCGCGGTGTTGTCTTCAGTGTGAAGGCTCGGACCCGTTATAAACTATCGCGGGATAACACCGCCTCGTGATAACGCCGCGACAAACTATCGCTAGCCTCGCCTAGCTACAGCAGCGGGACAGTCCCGCTGCTGTCGCGGTGTTTACTCAGTGTGAAGGCTCTCCGCTATAACACCGCGACAAACACGTGTGATTTGTTTACTTACCTATCACTGACCTCTTTTCTCCAGCAATGGGGAACATAAAGTGAAATAGAAATAAAGTAACCAGTGGATTCAAATTGATTTTATTTTTATGTAGATATTATAATTATCCAAATAAAAATATTTCACACTTCAAAAAATTAAAATATTCTGACTGGAAGCAATAAAAATGCTAGTTTTTTAAAAAGTAATATGATCGAGGATACAAAAAGCAACTTGACATGTTTACCCTAAAACCCCGCGCTGAAGTATTTCCGGTCATATCGGGGTCACTCGCGGGTCATGAGCCATGCATACAAGTGTTTGTTACGGAGGTAATAAAAATCACCCGCTGCAGCGTGAATGGGTACATGATATTTATCCCGCTGCTGCAGCGGGATAACTTTTCTACTGTGAATGCATTTGTAGCGGTGTTATGGCGGTGTCGCCGCTCCGCTACAACGCCGCTACAAATTTCAAAACCACTGTGAATGGGGTATTAGAGAGACAACCACAATGTACTTCACCCCACCCCCTTATATGTTGGTGTCTACTGTCTAGACATGGATTAAGATTAAAATAATTCATATAATTTTGAATTACTATTGTTCAAAAGATTGTTTACAATCATTTTCACTTCCTTCCTCATGTATTATTTCCTTGTTATGTACATGTACATGTAGGTTTCATCAAATTTATGAAATGAAGATGGAGGAAAATACTGTATGAATCGCATTTATGCACACTTGATCTAATTGATCTACACGTTTGTAATAAAACAAAAGTATTTGTAAAAGTTCAGGGCTATTAAAGTTGAAATAACTTTGAAAAGGGAATAAAAACAATTGCAAATTTGTTAAGGTTTTTTAAATGTCTTTGTATATGCATGTGTTACCCATTTGAAGATTTAAGTTTTGATCATATTTCAATTATCATTTCCATCAAACAACTTTGGTAAATTATCAGAAATGGCTGAAGTTATGACATTTTTGTTGTCGTTGTTGCTCATGTAAATTTTTTTTTCTAGAACTTTTAATACAAAATCTAACCATCCACAAAAAGTGTAATTTTGCGACAGATACTGAACTATTAAAAGAAAACTCATCACATGTATTTTTTTTTTCTTCATTTTTTCCTCCCATAATGGGCATATGCAAACAATTAATTCTCCCTTAATTTCACTTTGTTTCTTTCATTCAGCTATAGTGAACATGTGTGCAAAACCCTCTTTCACACCCTGATCTACAGTACATTGTAGTGTTCTGACCGGCACTTGTACCGGTATTCTTTCTAATGAAAGTAAACTTATCAAAATTTCTCTAGCCCCTCACCCATCCAATCCGATAGTACATCAACGTGTTCCAGGTTATTCAATAAATTCACACATGAATCTGTTCACGTGCGGTACAACACGTTACGCTGTCTACTTTATATCGCTAATACTGTACATGCACCGGTAGTCTCTCTAACGAACGTAAACTTATCAATATTTCTGAAGCACCTCAGCCATCCAATCTGATCCATCCACGTGTACTTTACCATATAGTTTGCTAAAGCTAAGGGCATTTCCAATGGTACTTGTATTTAAGGTCTGCTTAGAGCCAGAAGGCTGTTTACTCTATGGAAAAGTACACATACATGTACATGTACTGTACATGTATATCTTTTTGAGTTAATACAGACTTTTGGTATTGATAGAAAATATTATCTGTGGAGAGCTGGTGTAGAAGGGCATTAACTCCTATACTTTTGCAAAGACTTAATGACCTTTTAGCTCTAAACAGACCTTGCATATGTTATTTGATATACACCTGTACACTGTACTGCATATGGGTATTTCTGTCAAAATCTATCCAAAAAAAATCACAACAAATGCCTAGACTTTAAATAGATTATTGTCTACTGATTGCTGAGAACCAGAAGTTCAATGACATTTTTCACAGAACCTTTTACAGTGTTTATTCAATTCAAGTTTAAATTTCAGTAGCCATATTCCTTGTATGAACAGCGGTTGAAACTCCCTCCTCCATTCCTCTAAAATGAGGCAAACATGTAAAAAGAAAAAAAAATACAGAAAGAGCAACAACTGGTATCCAAACGAATATGCATGAAATGATATTAGTGCTGTAACATTACGGATATCTCCAATTCCGTTTAACCGCCAGTCAAAACCGGACGGTTTTCGGTTAAACGATTTTTTTAAAAAAAAATTTAAAAAAATAAATAAATAAATAAAAAAATAAAAAAAACGTTTTTTTTTTTTTTTTTTTTTTTTTTTTTTTGCTGACTCTGTCGGCAGCAAGCCAGGTCTGTGTGAAAAAGCGGGAAGGTGCCGATTTGTGCTTGCAAACTTGTCACAAATAATAGTAACAATGTCATTTTTAGAAGAATGTGTAAGATCATTAATATAAATTAAAAACAGTAGAGGACCTAGGATAGAACCTTGTGGTACGCCTTGTGTAAAAATTGGATGAATATTATTATAAACTACATATTGAGATCTATTACAAAGATACTTTCAAACCAAGATGACAGACAAATTGGAGTGTTAATTGTTCTAGTTTCAGAGTGGTGAGTCAACACACAGATTACTGAGCTGGGAGACATTGCCAGGCATAGTGCCAGGTGGAGGGGCATAAATCTAAACTTTAAAAAAAAAAAAAAAAAAAAAAAAAGAAAACGAGAAAACGAAACCGTCCAATTGAAAACGGAATCCGCCATGGGCGGTCGGATACCGGACGGTTAAACGTTTGACTACAGCACTAAATGATATCTTCTGAATAAACATTTGGTGCAAAGAAAAACAGTCATTATGAAATCTTGTTTTCTCTCATTTGTAGATCAACCTACTTTAACACTCAGTTTCCAAATCAATGCTGAGCTGACCCTCATTTGTTTATGGTGAAGTTGGGCTGCCTGGTCATTTGTAGTTAATTATGGTAATTACAAACAGAGACCAGATGAGAAATTGCATCTCATAGCCTTCAATTTTATTGATTTAACTCTGTTGTAGCATTTAAAGATAAAGTTGAGTTCTGGTCATGCGATTGCATTGTGAAAGAAACAGTGTGGAATCATTCAGAAAAGGTTGATCATCTAACATATAAGTAACAGTGTGTACTGCAAGGTTCTGGAATCAACAAAATGATAAGAAATTTGGCCCAGTCTTGGTATAGTTACATGTACATAGATTTTCAAGATTTTCAAGATTTATTCATTCCATTCAATAAAAAACATATATGTATAAAAAAATAACACAAGTGTAAAAAAAGAAAAAAATACAACTTATACAAACATCAGAAGGTCACTGATCAGTACATTTAAAGGTAAAGATAAAGGTAAAGAAATCAAATGGAAATTGGGTCACTGCAAAAGTTCAAATAAATTTGAACTTGTCGAGGCTGTGCCAAAGGTTTGAGTTAAAATATTTCTGCAATAGATAACTATGTACATGTACATAAATAATTTACTGGACAATAACAAAACAATACAAAACGAAACAAGTATATATATATAAGTGAAGAAGGAACAAAAAAAAAAAAAATGAAATTCTTTCTGTTCACAGAAATATTCATATGGGACTACACGATAAATGGAGAGCTCTGAAAATATAATGATATTGGATTTAAATCTACTTTGTCTTATTCTCATTGTATATTATACATGTATGTACATGTGACAGAAATGGAAATAGCTGAGATTTTAAAACATTTTATGATTATTCAAATCTCTATTCAATGTTCCTGGCACGTAGTCATTGATTTCATTCTTTTAATATTATACAACATCTGGAGGGTTTTGACTTTAGGTAACTCTAATTCAAATACATTTACATGTACATGTACATAATCTGAATCTTTCAAGTGAAAACAGGTGGCCTAGGCCTAAGTTGTCCCCTTACGGCTTACAATAAAAAAAATTAAAAATTTCAATGCCAATTTTTAGCAACCAGCAAGAAAGCAAAGAGACTGCATGCATAACATTCGATATTTCTACTGTATATGAAGTGCACTTGATAAGAATAATGCACAAATTTTGAAGGATAAGCACCTATTAAAAAAAGGAAGCAGGAAGGAGAATTGCTTTAGAAAAAAAAAAAGAAAAATAAAATGATTACGGTGAATTAATAGCTTGTCCACTTGTGTGTATTCACTGAGCTCTATGTAATGAGATACAGAACTGTGAGAAGGCAGAAAGCGTCGCAGTTTTGTTTACCGTAAATCTCCATGTATAAGATGCACCCCTATTTTGGGGGCCAAGAAAGAAAAAAAATTGTACCTGTGTATAAGACGCACCCCCCGACTTTCAATTTTTTTCCGGCGGGAAAAAGTGTGTCTTGTACACAGAGATTTACGATATTCGTGTCTGAACATCCCTTTACAATTTACATGAGGATTTCATGTTCTGAAGAACCAGTGATGCCAACATTTTCACTTTGCAGTTCCTCCATAGTTCTACCGCATACATGTACAGTACATGTATCTTGTCTTTGCCTGTCTGAACATGACCTTTTAAAAACTGTCTGAGAAGACTGTTTTCATGTTCACCGATCTTCAAAATCTGTCATGACACTTCTTTAGGTTCACAGCTGGAACTGTGGTGACACAGTTATTGCCAATTCGCAGATCGGGAATGCGGGTTCAGTTTGGCAAAAACAGAAAAACTGTGGTACTGGCAGTTTGAAGTTGTTCCAAAGACAGGAACATGAACCAATAAGTTTTGACATACATTTATTTACATCATTTACCTTGAAGAATTGTTATGTGATACAGTGGCAGACTGGCAGTCAGGGAAATGGATGGTTAAGTTCCAGGCACACACTCCAATGAAAAAAAAATCTATCAAAATACAATGTTGTGTATTGAACAAAGCCTAACTCAACTTCCCAATTGCTGTATCAGAAGGGCCTACATGTATGGAGAGCAGTCATGAGTCTTTAAGTTTAGACTCCTCGGGAATTATTAGTCCCGACAAGGGCTTGCACAAGACTTGAAAGAAGTTTCTTTTCGGGCAAATCATTTCAATATAGTTAATGAGTAAGGCTGTGCACAACAGTGTAATGAGGTACCCGAGTACCCTCCCAGGCTTACAAGCGAATACTCGAGTTTTCGGACGCCATGCTTTTTTATAATTTTTTTGAATTTTTTTGAATTTTTGTTTTGTTTTTTTGCCACCACCATACCACTGGGGCAGTATCTCACGTCGCCGAAAACGCATGCAATTTTACTTTGAGTTGCAGTTGAAGGCGCCGATTTAATAATAATAATAACAGTAAACAATGCTGTTTTAAAAACCAAAGATGGCAGAATAATCCATTTTCCTCCAAGTCCAAACAGAAATCCAGACATTTGGTCCCAGTTTCTGAGTGGTGAGTTTGATAGTGCTTGAGTTGGGAAGCATTTTTACCGACGGCACTATGCCAGCGGCCGCCGCTCACCCAGGCACGGGAAAGCGTCGGCCTGGACAGATTTTTTTTTTTTTTTTTTTGCAGCCGAATATTCGGGTACTAATGAAACAGAACTGACACAGTTAAAAAATGTACATGTAGGACATCAGCAATTTAAAGTTACAGGCAAAACACTTGTTAGTCATAATAAATGTATACACATAGGATCTGAGCGGTAAGACTATAGCCTACCTGTATATTCAGTAGGCCCTGTATCATACAGTACCAGGAGTTGATATTCAAGGCTCCGTTGTACCTTGTACATGTACATGTACTTGTGCCATGTGGGTTTCAGGTTCAAGGCTGGTTGGAAATTTGTGTGAGCCTAAATGTTAAAAATTACATTATAGGGTCTGTGCTTTCAGACTAATGAACAAGTGCCCTAACTTGCCTAGTGCCTTTGTAACCAAAATAGATTGTTATACAATGAAAATGAGACCAAGTGGAACATAATATTGATTTGAAATTTGGACAACAAAAGTAGCAATAAAAGGTCAAGAGAGACTTTTATACGCCTAATTACATGTACATGTACATGAAAATGACAAGTAGTGTTTCGACTCCACCCGGTTTTCCTTGCGTTGTCATAAGAGTATCAAGAGAAGATATACATGTAGATATTGCGACCACTGTCATGCACACATGTATACAAAAATTATACAAATCATGTGTTTTTGTCAAAACAATTAAATAGCAACTACAATGTTTTTTTGCATGAAAATGTTTCAAATCAACTGGATATTTTACGGATTAGAATCATTGTGATGTTAAATCATGATGTAAAATGTACATGTATAAAGAAGTTCAGAATAGAATAATGGAGAGTTTCAGAGGCGGAATGATGATTTTAAAAATGAAAATAGAAGTACGACTGATTGATTTTGTTGATATTTTGATGGCCTCTTCTTATTCTCTTGTAAGATTTTGATAGCAATTTCAGGGAAAAATCTTATAATTTTTGTCTTTATTATTAAACCAAGTGCATTTAGAACTCGCCAAGGGGGGATGGGGGGGGGGGGGGGAGAGGAAAAAACAAAGCAAAGCATAAAGGTTCTGATACTTTTCATCCTTGATATAATTTTTTTTTGGTTTTTTTTTTTTGGGGGGGGAGGGGAAAGGGGTGTCCAGTTACAAAGTAACATTTATTTTCTTCTATTAATTTATTCACATTTTATCTTTAGTATTCAAAACATGTGTACAAAATAAAAGCATGATTCTAAAGCATGGTCATAAACTTCAGAAGATGGCAGAAAATCCTTTGAAAAAAGGAGCTTGCCTTAATGTCTTTATTATGCCTTTTGTCATTCTGTTGTATCATTGATGATTTGTTTTAATTTGTCTTATTCTCTTTTTCTGTTTCTTTTCTTTCTTAATTTTTGTTATATATATATATAACAGTTTATAACTGGACTGTAGACAAAACAGTCAAGTGGTTAGAAGATTCAGTAGACCTACCCCAGTATGCAGAACGCTTCCAGAACAATGGAATAGAAGGATCAGCGTTACCAAGGTTAGTATGAACACTCATACACTATTCCAATGGGGCTGTTCCCATGAACAGTAAAATAAATCATTTGTAGAATTGGCAAAATCTTGTACATACATAATGTACATTTACATTGCACATGGGCGGGGGGTTGTAGGGATTTTGTTTCCTTATCAATTTATTTGATTTTCATGTTTCATGGGGAATTTGTTGTTACATATACATTTTTAAAAACATCTAAGAATTTGGTATTTTGATGGACTCACAAACTACTGAGCTTTGTTATACAGATTTAAATGTGAAAGTATTCAAAATGATCGTGAAGAGCTGTGATGCAGAAACGGTTCATTTAGCACATATGGAATGAGAGCAAAACCAATAAACAGATTACCACTGCATTGCTTAATAGTCAGTTAATTACATTAGATTATAGGTTTATTACATTAAACGGTTAAACTCATCCCTACTACCGTACTCGCATTCCATTAAACTTGCCAAATGAGCTATTTCTGCATCATATTAAAATCTGCATGAAATATTTAAATAATTTTCTTCACTGTGTTTTTACATTTATTTATATATTTTTGAAAACAATATATTTGTATCGTGCACTAACCCACTGTCACCCACATAAAACTTGACCAAAAGTAAGTGTTTTAAAACATCAATTCCAAAGGTTTCCTAGCCCAACTAATGTAAACAAAAAAACAGTACCATAAATTTATATATTGTAACTTCTGTCCTTATTTTGTCAAGCCTTTGAGTTTCTAACATACACATGTATCGCCAGTCTATAGAGCCAGAAGGATGGTTCCTCTTCGTTAAAGGTACTATGTCCCATTTGCAGGCCCAAAAAATGAAAAAGTTAAATTCCAACTGCATTTGAAAGATAATACTAATTTAGAACTTCCTTATAAAAGGTAGGGCTTGAAATGTCTTCAAGTGGGAAAATAATGACTATTAGTTGTCAAATCGACTTTAAGGCTATGAAGAAAAAAGGCCAGTCAGTCACTCAATAGTGTCTGACAGTGAAGTCTAGCAAGTAAACCGTTTCCTTGCATAATTTGAATATGAGGACACTGCTAACGTTTAAATTTCACAAATAGGACATACATGACATGACATATTCATAATTCCTGCAAAGTTCTACAGAATTTGAGGTTGGCTGCAAAAGGGACATAGTACCTTTAAAGTACCGGTATATGAGTTAACACTCTTCTTGCTCCGAACCGACAATATTGTTTATTTGTATTCAGTGAATAGATTCCATCTTCTTTTGGGGAATATTGCTTCTTTGCTTATGACTCTCCGTCTCTTTTCCTCCCCACTTTTACCCCTCAAACCATGACAAACCTGTGTGATATAAAATTCTAACAAATCTTCATACCTGTATCAAAACAACACTATCAAATGTTTGAAACGGCTGTGCTACAATTCCGTACCTCATTGCATTTTCTCCCATTATTATCCTAATGTACCTGTATGTAAAATCATTTTTGAAAATCATACAAATGTCCATGATGTGTGTACACCTGTCAATACAACAATTGACTTGAAACTGATTATGATTGAATCAAACCATATGCTCCATAAACCATTGCCAACAAAAATTATGAATTCTTTCCTCCTTGAAATGATTACTTTTGCAATGTGCATTTCTGTCATTGAATATTGTTTGTTTTGAACACTCTTCTTTTTTTTAATCTAAAAAAATCTACTCCAAAAATTCGATTTACCAATTTTTCTTTTTTAATGTAAACCTTGAAATAATTTTATCTCTTTTTGTTCTGCTTCATACTCCAACTCATCTTTTTAAAATTGTATTATTCAATGGAAATTATTCAATAATTTATGAAATCATTAAATGACACAACACTCTGTTCTGTATGTACCCGTACCTATATTAATTGTTTTTGAATTGTTCATCCATATTCATTAACATTTTATTTTTGCAAAATATATCAAATTCACATCCTTCGTTTGACTGCAATTCATGTGCATTTCCAAATAATATCCTTACTGTCAAACATCAATTTCTCTTTCTCTCTCTCTCTCTCTCTCTCTCTCCCTTTCTGTCTCTCTGTCTATCTTTATTTCTTTTTCTCTTTGACCTCTGAACTCGCTCTATCGTTTTCTGTTACCTCTTTGTGATGACATGTATCCTATTAACTAACCTTTGACCCATGTCATTTGGCTTTGCAACCCATTTTTTACTTGCTTGCATAAATTAATCTTTTATCCTTGACACTGCGTCTCATTTAAATCGATGCTGACTTTTCTTTGACCTTTGTGCTAATCTTTTCATCTT